ACTGTTAACGAAGAACCTGACAAAGACACTAACAGGCGAAATGAGGTATCAGCAGCGTTCTTTGTGAACCAGCAGAACAGTAATGACTAAGTCAGAACTGAGTTTGAAGACTAAGCTGTCTCTGTTCAAGTAGCTCTTCATCTTTATGTTCACACACGTCAGAATTCTGTCTTCGGTATAAGCGACTGAAATTGATTTTATCGCTGGGCTCACGCGTCTCAACATGATCCGGGTTCAGATATTCGAGAGAGTCTTTGGAGACCAGCAGTTTCTTTTAGTCAATTTACAACTGCAATGGTTTGAGCACTTCTTGGGAAGAAATAAGGTGAAAGAACTACTGGTTACTCATCGAGCGGCCAAAGACCCTGCGGGACCGCCAGGAATGTCCTGTGGCAAGTGTCTCAGCACAAACCCTTCTCGACTCAAAATATTTTCTGCCGAAACTCGCACGGTGTCACAGAATCGCGAAACTTCGACACCACGTCTGACGCGCCTGCCCCAGCCATTCGAAAGGTGGAAAATTAACTTTTTAAAGTGTACGCTTAAGTACTGGGAAGATTTCAGTATTTCGGGTTGTTAATGTACATTTGTCATGTATGTTCCTGCAAACATCTTTTAAAACTGTAGCTAATGCAAAAGCCTATAATAATTTTTCGATGTGCGTCGTAAGTTTGAAACTTATTGAGATTTTCCTTTCATTTTGGTATTATATTGTTGCTTTTGTTATTAATTTATAATTCTTTGACGATTTAAAATAAATTTGCATGAGCATGAGTGTAACTGCGTCAGTAGAATGTCCTTTCTAAAAGTCAATTTCTTAACGATTGCGCTGCTGTTATTCCTTGGTTCATTTTGTGACTTTTTCATTGTGTCCGACCGCAGAATTTGAAGGCAGATGTTATCCCGATTGTTTAGTTTACATTCTGAATTGTAACATTTCAAAGTATCTTGCTTTTTGTCTTTCTCCCAGTTTATTTCTTCGTGAGCTGGCCATTCGAAGCTTAGTCAGTAACACCCATCGTGAAATCGCATATTCATGTTGGCGCTGTTGATACTATGCAGATAATGTAACTTTCATAAAATTTTCTTTTAGCGCCCGATAATACATTCTGGAGCTATGCCTCAGCTAATGGAAACAAAGACAGCGAAAAGCAACGCTCTCAAGGCAGAAGAAAAAACGAAAGAAGAAGAAACTAAGACGAAGCCAACGAAGGTTTCACAGCACAAAGGTACTTCGTGCGTCTTTGCGCGTTTGAATGCGAGTGTTTTTCTAGATATTGCTTGAGATACGACTGTTTCAGGAAGCGAAGGAGACACCTCGGATGAATCCGACGACGAATCCGTACCCGATCTGGAGGAATCAGAACCACAGTTGACTCAGCATCAGAAGCAAGTAAGTTCTTATGTGTGTTTTAGTTTCCATTTTTCCAGTCATGTTTATTGCACATATTCGAAGTGTATTTTTTTCTTCAGGTTGCTCAGGCGGCCGGTCTCGAAGAACAGGTCACCAAGGTAGGAAAGCAGAGCAGGTCTGAGAAAAAAGCCAGAAAATTTTTCTCAAAATTGGGATTGAAACAGGTAACGTTAAGAATAAGTACGCTTTTCAGTATTTTGTTACTTTGCTGATTCCTTTCACCATGCTTATGAAAACCGTATTTAATCGAATTGTAACTAAAAATAATATGGTAGGTATAAACCTTAAAACCTTAAAACTTGTTAAAACTTAAATATAACATAACTGGAAAGTTGCTACCACATATACATCAAAATATATTCGTACACAGGAGTATGTTCCATTTATGCGTAAATCCTCCAAAGTCACATTTCAAGCCGCATTGCACGTTCTAAGGTAAGAGGTTCGTACTAGCAATCAGAATGATGCGAGGTATGCAAGATGAGGCATCTGGCATTGCAGGTGTTGAAATTCTACTGAGTTGTGGCCGGCTTAATGGGGCGGTGCAGTACTCCGTGAAATCTGGTCTTAGACGAATCATGTGCGCAATTTATCGTACTACTCCGGCTTACGAACAAATTTTCGCCTTTATGCTGTAGCATATAACGTATGCCATCTGCTGAAATATCGTTCGTAATGATCGTGAGGTTGTTTTAGCGAATAAATGGAGCACGAAGCATCTGGGACTGCAGGTGCTCAAATACCATGGAGAGGTTGCCCGCCTGAATTGTAGGAAGTTTGGCAGTACTCGTCTTGGGCCATGACAGCGTTTTTACCAAACATAATCGAAGGATTTGAATAACTCTGCTCTGTCGGTTTGTACTACCGTAAT